TCCCCCCCCCCCCCACCCCCCGAGTCGGTGAGTTCGATTCTTAGAACAATTTTATTCTCCCTATGGGCTTCTTTCCCTTTCTTCATTCTTCTGGCCTTAAACCCCTTCCTCGCGAGGCTCTGTGATTTACGTATTTCTCGAAAAAATATTTGTTTTGGGGCTGATATTTTTTGTGTTCAAATAATTGAGTTTTCCGACAATCTCCACATTTAAGGTGCTTTCTACGATAGACTGGTATTAAACTTTTGACTTCCGAGGGAAGCCGGAAGTCGATGACGTCAATAATTTTTATATAGCGTGATTGTCAAACGTACCTTCCATGATCTAATAAGTCACCGTTAGCAAACAAGAGATATCAGCCACCGCACCGACTCCACATTCTGCAGACGATCAATAAAGGTGCTATATGCATGTGTATGGATGCATCGACACAGGTGAGGTATTTGAAGTCGCAGTCTATATATATATCATGGGTACATAAATATAGTACGAATTGTTAAGTTTATCGGCCTCCGATAAGAGTTAACCGGCTCAGCAAGGTGAGTGTTGTTCAATCACGTTCCTGTTTTGAATCAGTTTAAAACTAAAAACTCAGTATTATTGCGTCCGAATCATCTCTTCGGGCGAATATGGTCAAACAGTTTTGTTTCTGATGTCGTGTTTATTTAATCGCGTAAATAAACCGTTGCCTTTTGGGTCAGTTATTACGCAAGTAACTGATGCTATGCACTAACGAATACCTGAATAACTTAAATTTTAGACCTAGCGAGTAGGGCAAACAAGCCACCGTAATATGATTCGCTTCAACCCCTGTTCAAAAATCTTTGTGAAAAAAAAAAAGCTTACATCGCACTTCGCACGTTTACTATCAAAAGGAAGGTTGCGATAACATTCTTGGCGATGTTTTCGTAGACTACTTGTTTCTACCACTCAAGCTTATTTACTATGCAGATTATGATGGCGTTATCCTTGAAGTTTTTAAAAACAACGCAGTGTTTATAAAGCATTCCTGATTTTATACATGACGTAAATTCAGCGGAAAACGTTCGCTATGTGCTTGTGTAAGCATAATCTTATACAAGAAGCAACTTTACTACAACAATCTCCAACGTACACTACACAGTTAATTTGTCTTCAATGTTGCCTCCGATATATTGAGGTATTTGTCGAATTCAAATCACTGAGACGGAACTGTGACAACATTTAATATTAATCAAGAACGCTATAGACCCACCTCCTTATAAGCCTTGAGGGGGTAAGACGGAGTGGAAGTTGGAATCAACCTATTTTCCCAGGGAGGGGGAGGGTACTTGGGGGCAATTTTTAGACTGGGAAAGCATGAATGAGGAAGTGAGATTTGAATGTTTGAGGCAAAATTGAGGCAAGAAGACAATTGGATCTGAATGGGAAAGAGAAAGGGAAAAGTAAGATGTGTGCTACCCCCTCCGCCATCTCACGCTTGGGACCCTACAATTATTGATTTTGTGGCTACAGCAATAAAAATTGAATAAATCTGTTTTTGTCTTTATATTCCAAAGGCAAACAACAGCCCAGTGCAGCGGATGAAAGATTATGAAAAGGAGACGACTGTTTGGTGATAACCCACCCGAGATCGATGCTACAAAGCTGCCTGCTGGGCGTCTGTGGAAAAAAAGCGATCTGCCAGGACCAAAAGACGCGAAGGTTTGGGAGCAAGTACTAAAAGAACTTCCAGTTGATATATATTTTGCTACTGACAGTGAAGGATTGTGAATTCTTAAGTTGCGTATCTCATCTTAATGAGGGATACTTTCGGAGTAGTCATGACAACCTTGGAACTGTGTACTTCGGGCTAATGGGTACGGGCCCAACCTTCTTGAAAATCGCTGTGATGAAATGTTATCCAGGTCCTTTGGCTCCAGGAGGTCCCTTAACAACTGTGACAAATGGTGTTGAAGTGTTAAGACCCAAAGCGGTATTTTGTGTGGGATTCTGTGGTGGCTTAGGCGAAAACGTCGGTTTAGGAGATGTGGCAATTTTAGCGAAGCTAAGAACATACTCTTCTGTGAAAGTAACGGACAGTGGAATTCAAGAGCGTGGCCTTGCTGTTCCGTTGGAGAGGAATCTTTTGAGCCTCATTAAAAACGCTGATGATGGCTGGAAGGCGCCACTAAGAGATTGCGGGGAGGTGAAAGTACGGAAAGATGGCGTGTATTTGAGCGGACCCGAGAAGGTGGAAAGTGAAGAAAGACGCAAGGAGCTCGTAAAGCGATTCCCGGATGCAATCGCTATAGAAATGGAAGGGCAAGGTGAGAATGTGGCTTAATCTCGTCCGTGGAAAAACCCTTCCAAGTAATTGTTCCACAGGACTCTGCTATGCTCCTAATGAAAATTTTTGGGTCGGCTTTGGGTTCATCCCCTCATCCTCCCACTGGAACGGGTCGCTAGTTTTAATATGACTTGAAAGGTCCAAACTCTTTACTCTATTGACTTCCATTGCAGTCTTACTTACAAAAGTCTCTTGCAGGTCTGTTCTTAGCCGCACACGACTTGAAGATAGAATGGATTGTTATCAAAGGAGTCTCTAACCTTGCTGATGGCAAGGAATCTGAGTCTTGGAAAGAATTTGCGAGCGTAATGGCAGCT